AGGAGTTCTAACCATGCTTGACAGCTAGGTAGACAGATATAGTCAGTGAAAGGGATATTTCTGACTGGGATAAGATTGCTCTTGTAGCTGCAATGTGAACTATGGGACCTTGAGGCTTCAACCTGCCTGTCACTAGGCAGAAAAGAAAGTTAGATTCTTTTCATTTTCCATCGACTGTTAACATACCAGATGTGCTTTTGAGTGCTAAAGGGTGGCCAATCCTATTACAAAGATGACAGAGTGGAAGCCACCTTTCTGGTTCCTGTGCATTTTAATGTATACATAGTAAGTGATAAGTTTTGAAAGGTCAGCTGTAACTCCATAAGAAGAGGAACACTATTTTTGAAGTATGAAAGCATATGTTTATGAAGAAGAAGATATAAAAATGGTTAGTATTGATTCTATAGTTCAACAAATACTTATGGATGATCTATTTTGTAACCTATGTATCCTGTGATAGACCCTAGGAATTTAAAAGTAAGTTAGTCTCCCACAATAGGGTAACAAACTGTCTTTGTTTGTTCAGGACTGAGAGGGTTTCCAGGATGCTGTACTTTCGGTGCTAAAACTGGGAAAGTCCTAGGCAAATTGAAATGAGCAGGTTACCCTACCTGCCACCAAGGAGCTCACAGGCTAGAAAGGAAGTCAGTTATGCAAATGCATAGCTATGAAATAGTGTGGTATGTGAAATTATGGACTAATAATACCAGCTTATACTTCCTGATATTGCTTGGCTGTGTCCCCACCCTGAATTGTAATAATCCCCACATGTCAAGGGCAGGGCCAGATGGAGATAATTAAATCATGGGGTGGTTTCCTCCATACTGTTTTCATGGTAGTGAATAAGTCTCTGAGAGCTGATGGTTTTATACATGGGAGTTCCCCTGCACAAGCGCTTTTGCCTGCCACCATGTAAGATGTGCCTTTGCTTCTCCTTTGCCTTCCATCAAGATTGTGAGTCCTCCACAGCCATGTGGAACTGTGAATCCATTAAAGCTCTTTACTTTATAAATTACCCAGTCTTTCCTTTATAAATTTCCTTTATTAGCAGTGTGAGGACAGACTAATGCACTTCTATAACACTTTCTAAGAGCCAGGTACTATTTAGAATAATGCCTGTCTTAGTCCCTTCAGGCTGCTATAACCAAATACAATAAACTGAGTGGCTTATAAACAATAAACAATTTTTTCTCACGGTTCTGGAGGCTGGGAAGTCCAAGATCAAGGTATCCAGTAGATATGGTGTCTGGTGAGGGCTGACTTTCTGGCGTATAGAACTTATGGCAACTTTCAGTTGCTGAAATTGCCCCTGTACCCATGCATATGGAATTAGCAGCTGCAAATATACTATGATTTGAGAAGTTCTAGAAGGCTTATTTGCCCCCCACCCAATATGTCCCATCTCTTAGTATTAGGGTACCTAAAATTCTTTCATCAGAGATTCAGTTAAGTGTTGTATAATAATCCTCTTGCTATATCTTTGCATAGTGGAAGGAACTAGTTAGCTCTCTGGGGATAGGCACTAATTTCAATTATGAGGGCAGAATTCTTATGACCTAATCGCTTCTTGAAGGCCTCAGTTCCTAATACCACCACCTTGCAGGTTAGGATTTCAACATGACTTTGGGGGAAACATAAGCATTCAGTGTGTTGCAGTATCACTGCAACTTTTACATGGATCAACTTACTGACTTTCATAATAGCCATGTGAAGGAAGAACTATTATTATCTCCATTTTACACTGATAGAAATTGAGGCACTACTAAAGGGTAGTAAATCTGAGATTTAAACCTAGGCAGCATGAGCCTACATCTAAGATCTTAACCTCTAAACACTTCTCTCAAAAAACCTAAGACATAGAAGTAGCACAGAGGGGCGAGTGATGAACTTTCTGGGTGAGAGGAGGTGGTCATCGGATAAAAGGTGGTTAGAGAAGGTGATACCTGAGAAGGATTTTGAATGATGAATGAGGTATTAACTAGCAGGAAGGAGAAAAGGGGCATTCTAGGTATAATAGTTCAGGTTAAGACATAGAGATGTTAAATATCATGGTGTCACTGGTAAGTAGTGCCAGTGAGGGTCCCCATGAAAATTTTCTGGGCTCTGACACTCACAGTAATACATTCCATCAACCATGCCAGGACCTTTGTAAAGAAGCCTGAAGAGGTAGCAGGGCCAGACCACCAAGGGACTCACATGCCATGATAAGAATCATAGACTTTAACCTGCACCTAATGGGGCAGCACTGGAGACTTTGAAGTAAAAATTGAGATTTGCTTTTTTAGAGAATTGCTCTGGTAGCAGCTAGAGGATTGCTGGAAAGGGGAGGAATGTAGGAACAGTGGAGGGGATAATCAAATATGAAGCTCTTGGAAAAATACCCCATGAGAGATGGTGACTTTAACTGAAGCTTGTGTCAATGGGGATGGAGTGGGCTGGGCAGATTCAAAAGATGGAGGAAATAAAATGGACTATATTTGGTTAGTGATTGGATGAAGGGGCTAGAGCTAGAGGGACCAGGAAATCCAGTGATAAATTCCGTGAGCCTTATTTGTTGACTGGGTACATGACCTGTCCACTAATTCTCTCTCTGTTGTTTTTAAAGGAACATAGGCAGAGAGGAGAGTTTAGAAAGGGAAAAGATAGTGAGTTTGGCTTTCCACAATGTGACTCTCAAAAGCCTATAGGAAATCTAGATGGTATTGTCTAATCCAGATATTCCATAAAAGAAGGAACTAACTCGCCCTAACGGGCATTTATTTTTCTGATCAAGAGTGAAATAATACTTATGAGTGAAGTTTTTGGAGAGAGGTATGAAGTAAATAGAAAGCTGAATAATTAATAGAATATGAATTCTATGTCCTTTGGGTTAATTTTGAAGTAGAAAAAATTGATTACATTCATTTATCATGAAGTATCAATGGCTTACTTTACTATTTCTCCTAGTAATGTTTGAATTTTATAAAAGTCATCAATACTTAACTGACTCTCTGATGAAAGAATTTCAGGTACCCTAATACTAAGAGATGGGACAAATTTTGGGGGGGCAAATAAGCCTTCTGGAGCTCCTCAGTTCAGTACATTTGCAGCTGCTAATTCCATATGCATGGGTACAGGGACAATTTGAGCAACTGAAGGTTGCCATAAATTCTATATGTGGATTATACCCATACCTGAACTATCCTCTGAAAAAAATACTGCTATATTTGTTTCAAACCATTTATGATCTTTATGATCTTGAGATCATAAGTATAGCAAATCAGTTATCACTAATTTTTTATAATCCTGTTTATTTACATGACCTATTTATTTGAATTTGAATTTTTTGAACATGACTTAGCTCTTTTCTCCCCTTCTAATTCCCTAAGTGTAATCATGCTTCCTTCAGAGTGTTCTGGATCCCTTAGATGAGAGGAGGGTCCTGTATCCCCTCATCCTCACATAAACTTTCATCTGTGTGTTTCTGATGAATGATCTCTGGATGAAAGTACATGAATGATGATCTTGAATACCAAATGCATCATTTAACAAAATAACCTAAAGCAGTACCTCATGAATACATTAATTGAGCTTAGCATGTCTTCTTTGAAACAATTATGAATAGAGGAGGAACAGAGATCCAGAGAGGCTAAAGAAATTTCCAAAGGACACATCTTTACTCTGGGAACCAGCACAAATATGTGACTAGCCTGACATCTCACTGGAATCAGTAGACCATTCTGTCTCCTTGCTATTAGAATGCCATCATTTGTGAAATAGCCAAATCACCTGGAAGAATGACCTTGGTTGGCTCTTGTGATTGAGAAGCTTGGATATCTTTTCTACCAGGCAAAACTTCACCCAACTCTCCCATTTCCTAGCTTTGGTTTCTATTTAGAGAAGCATGCTGCTCACTGTTCTAACATCGTTCATCTTTGTCAGCACCCAAGGCCACAACTTCGTCCGAACAGCCAGTGATATACTGCAGATAGAGTGCACCAAAGACATTAAACTCTAAATGACATTTATATGGACTCTGAGTTCACCAGAGATGGATTGATGCTGCCATAAAGCCTTGGGGTAGCCAGGCAAACAAAAGACTAAGGAGACTGGTGGGGGCGGAGATGGTGGTAAGAAAAGCAATATCTTTCTACATTCACTTTCCCTCTCTGCTGAGGTTGGCCTGCATCTTATTTAGAAAGTGAAGAAACCAAGTGAGTATGGAGACTTTTGGAGCCCAGCACAGAAGCAACCTCAGCCTTGATTATCAATGGAGCTTCTTATGGCTGTGACCAGGCCAGTGTCAGCACAAGTAATGGATACTTACAACATCCCACTTTGAACCCAGTGCACCTCACCAACCATATATCTTTATGAAATAAAGAAAAGACTTAACATAGATGCAAAAGCAGTGGTGGATCAAGCAAGGATTTAAATATATGCCCATTGATTCCCTTGGCAGGTATCCTCAGTATCACAGCCATAATATTGTTTAAGGGCACGCTCACCCAGGATGAACACAGTGCTGGCATTCCACTCTGCTTCCCCAGTCTGCAAACTGGATTAAAGACAGTAATATGTCCGGATTTATATTCAGGATTATCAGCATGATTGGACCCATCTTTACCTGAACCAACGGGTATTTTATTAGGTACTCAGGAACTTGACTGGAAAATGATTTTATATAACAAAACAGTAATTTATTTTTTGTAGCTAATGCTAATCAGTTATGCAAGCACTTAATGTGATTAAGCTTACTGCAAACAAAATGCCCACATTATCAGAAACGGGGCTTCCCTACCCCCATCCTGTCTCTCCACATGGACGTGTATGTGCAATTGCAGACCACTGTGTGAATATGCTTGTGTGTATTCTTCATGGACCACCTGCAGCTAACTTTGGAAGACGCAGATTTTTAAGTATGATTTAAACCATGGCAACATATACACATTTAAAAAATAATCAGTGACTAAGAAAGCTCCACATTCACATGAAGAAAGATAACAATAAATCTGACTTACCAGTTTATGCTGTTTGAGGAAGCAGAGGTACAAGTTGTTGGTAATTGTCCAGTGCTTTCATTCAATAAATCACATTGGCTTTGCTTTCTCCTGTGGCTCAGTCTCTGTGCAAAGCAAGCGAATCTCCTTCCTATTCTGTGTAAAGAATAAAATGCGAACAGGATCACTACAGGCAAGAGCCGAAGTCCATGATCACTAAGCTACTCTTTTGCAAAATAAAAGAGCAAATGATGCATACATAGGAAGAGAAAGGGAGAGGTAAACAGCTTGGCTCAGAGGCTAGGTGTATTCTCTAGACTGCAGCCCAGGGAAGGCTTGATTTCTGTCGCCTGTATTCGTGTAGTAAAAGGACACCATGACTTCAGCCTGTGTTTAGCCTATCGTATCCGGGAAAACCATTTGAAATGGCTTGCACAGACTACTAGCTTCATGGCAAACAAGACCGAATCCGAACAGACTGTCACTCAGGGGTGAGCAGAGGGGCAGTGGGTCACTACATCAACAGCAGGGAAAGAAATATTGTCTGGCATCCAAGAGCCCATCCAGCAATCCGTGACTGCAAATGATCTACAGCTCTTCTGGGGCCAGACATCCCCTTGTTTCCACAGCCGTCTGGGACCAGAAGCACACAGGTGGCAGTCACATCCCTTCACCACAGGGCACCTGCGCAATTCCTTACAAGTTCCCAGCAGGAGCTAGGGGGCATCTTGAGAAAGCTCTAAATCCAGTCGAGGCTGCTGAAATTGTGCTTGGGTTTTTGTCTGTGCAGGTTCTGAGAAAGGAGTCAGCAGACGTGGGACTTAGGACAGCAAGACGCTCAGTCTCAGGCAAAAGATTCCAGTGCTGCTTCTATGCCAGCCACATATGAGTATACCCCGCTCCGTTCACAGCATTGTACTTTACATGGCTAATGAAAGACACAAATAGATTCCCTAGAAAGCTGTATACATAGGCATTTTTAATGATTGTCACTGAAATAAAATGGCAAATGACCTTCACAGGCTGCTTATTATGTTGGGGGGTGGGACTCACTGATTGATAGCACATATGAATACTGTACATGTACACATACACACACACACACACACACACACACACACACCCCAACACATGGCCCTAGCAACAGCCTTAAGAGTCTTTGTAAAGCTCTGTTCTGATTCTTTCTCTGCCAAATGAATATATAGCTGCCGTAATGACTTCGTAAGTAATTTTGGACTCTTCTGCTAGGCACTGTCTAGTCTATCATTCATGCCTGGAGCCAAAGAAACTCTCAGATTTTGAATGAAACTCTGTAGCAAATCAGGAGGAAGCCTCTTGATCATAAACAAGTGGGTGGAGAGTTAATCTTTGGCCTGGTAATTGCTTAGGATCCTGGAAGTGACATCTTGTCTTCCTGAAACTCTCCTTCTTTCTAGAGACATTATTTCCCCCAATAGCTCGCTCTCCCTCAACAGGTGGCTATTCTGGAGCTCAGATCTGAGGCAAGGCTCAGTGACTCATAAAGCCAGGGTGGCCAAAGAAAGAGCTCAGTTCAGCTTTTAACAATTGTCTTACTTTTTCTTTTCTTATTAAAAAGGCAAAATCTCTCTCTTGAACATTTACTATCCCTTTCTATCCTTGGATTTATTTGTCCATGGAAGCATTGCTGTGAATAATCTAATTAAGGAATATTCATGCCTTTGAGGTTTAGAGGGCTATGTTTTTCATCAAGGATTAAGAAAGAGCCTGGCTTCTCTTGCACAGTTTAGGCCAAAATGATTGCCAGCTAAAACTTTACCCTTTCACCTAGAAAAACTTTGGCTTTAGTGCAGATTTACTTGAATTACATCTGCTATGGTAAGCTAGGTGACTTAGTAACTCTGCTAAGGTTAGAGGGTTGGCTCACTGGGGTCATGAGTTACACGTGCTATGCAGACCTAAGGGAACAGTGACTCTGGTAATAGTAGCAACTTTCTAGAGCAAATACTCAAGTCAAAAAGCCCATGTTTATTGCAAAGAAAATTCATTCATTCATCCATGTATTCATTAATCTACTCTTCAATAGACATGTAGTATTTGTAGGTTAGATTCACTGTGCTACATACTTTAATGTTACTTAGAGCCTACTGGTGTATAAACTCCTTGACATACCCTAGCAAAATTCTTCATATTCTGGCTCTTCCTATCACTCTAGCCTAATTTGTCACCACATTTCTATTTGCAGTCCATTCTGTAGTTTTTTTGAATATCTGTTGGTTCCTTGGACATGCTATATTCTTTCTGAATACCAGATCATCACATATGATGGGTATTCTTCTGCCTGGACGCTCAGTTCCCTATGTCTGGCTAACTCCTGTACAGCCTTGAAATCTTGGCTTAAACCCTCAAAGATATTTTTCTTGCCCCTAGTCTGTTAGGGTCCCTGCTCTGTGGTCTGAAAGCACAACACCTTATACTCTGCCATCATTACATCCATTATATTTTACTGCACTTCACAGTTTAGCATCAGTCATCCCCATTATATTGTAAGAGTTTAAGTGCAAAGTTTCTTATTTTCTGCTGTATTTCCAGGGTCGAGCAGAGTTCCTGGACATAGAAGGTGTTCAATAAGTATTTGATGTTTTGTTGAAGTACTTAGTGTGCATTTATTGAATGAATGCATAAATCACCTGAAGGAATAATGGGGGATGGGGTCTCAGAATTCAAAGGAACCTTAAAGTTCTCTTGGTATGTCTAATCTTTCCTGCCAAGTGACCAGCCGCTGAAGGCTTGCCTCCGCCAATTAATCCTTCTGGAATAATCTCAACCCATATTGAGCACACTTTTATTTTGTCTCCCACTTTTTAGCACTTTTACAGCATGTTTTTCCTTTTCGTTCTCCAGCTGTTTCCTGGAATTCATCTCATCTCTGCAAACTGGTACTCTATAACTCTTAGCATAAGCCTGCAATTATCTGATGCTTGATTCATTGAACATCAAACACTTGAACAGGGAGTTAAATGATCAGAGTCTTATTTTAGGAAGATTTCTCTGGTTCTGGGGGAAGAATGAGTGAGATTAGCCAGACCTAGGGAAGACTCTAATAATGACTACAGCACGAGATGGGATCTAAAGGCAGCTTTGCCCTTCCTTTCTTTCTACTCCTCCCCCATTACTCCTCCCTCCGTGTCATAATGCCAATGTTCTCATCTGGAACACTGAGAATGTTTGTTCCACGCTCAGAACTTCCCCTCCACCCAATTCCACCCCCACAGTTATTTAACGTGCTTAGGGTATTTGCGAATGTGTCTCAATGATTCAATTAAAGGCTTCTCTAAAAAAAAGGGATTGTGTTTTATTTTGCATCTTTCTCCCTCAGCCACTACACATCCTGGACTAGTAAGTGCTCACTAAAAGTCAAGAAAGAAATTAATTTGTTATATGCAGTGTATTAAGTGAAGCAATGTGGTTGGGAGGGAGCATTGCTCCCATTCAAAGACGAACAGGGCACCTTTCCAAAGATAAAAGAGATATATTTAGCAACAGATATGCAACCGATTACAATACAAGGCAGAATTAAATAAGTGCCATAAAAAAGTATGAGCAATGTGCTAAGGGAACATAGAATTATTACTTCTTTCTGTAATCCGTAGAAAAGCAGAGAAGGTGGCATTTGAACTGGGGCTGGAGGTCTGAGGATCTCTCTACAGGTTGAAAAGAAGAAATAGGTTTGGAGTCAAGGCATAGTGTCAAGGCATAGAGTTCCGGCACTATTAGGGAATGACAAGTAGTCTAGCAGACTGGAGTGAACAGTGCCGGGAAAAGTTGATGGAACTCGTCTCAAAAAGTAAGCAGGAGCTAAATTGGAGAGCACTTGAATGCTATGTTAAAGGGTTTTGCCATAGGTGACAGTGATCTGAGCAGGAGAATGCCAGACAGCTGATTAGAATCCATCTGCCCCAGCCGTTTTGCGGTGAGAACCCAGAAGCAGGAAGACACGGATGGTGTGAGGGCCCGTGAAGATGTAAATTAGAAGATGAAAGTTCTATCTTTGGAGAGAGAACTTAAAGGATTTGTCAATAGTATAGGTGGGGTAGGGGAGGATGAGAGACAAGTTGAAGGTGACTTTTAAAGGTTTAGCCTACATGATAGGAGATGATGATGACATTAATTTATTCCGGTACACACACCTAGAGATAATTTGGGCATGCAGGTTGTAGTCTGTGCATTTTTTTAAGACAGAGAAAAGAAGAGGAGCTGAGTCCTTGGACTCATGTGAATGCGCCTAAACATTCACAGGATGCTTTGAAGAGACCATTTAGTGCCAGGTAAAGATTTTAGCCCAGGCCGTGACAGATGAACTGCCTCTAGCAACATTCAGCACCATTTCTAGGGGTCATGGGTACAGGGTTTCCATTAAATGTGAGTTTGTGGTTTCCCACTGGAGTTGGTTACCTCATTGGAAAGAACCTGGGTCTGAGAATGGGGACTTTGAACTTGAGTCCTCGAGTTGCCCCTCAGTAGCTGTGTGATCTTGGGCAAGTTACTTTTTGTCATTAGGCTTCATTATTCTTGCTTGCGAAATAAGAGTGTTGGACTAGTTAAATTCAAAGGTTTCTTTTAGTATACTCTCCTCTGACTTGTGACATACGATGTTTAGAATTTCAGAACACTTGCAAAATTAGGCCAAAGCCCACCAATATCAGAAGCCAGTAATGTCCACTCTCTGCTGCAAAAATCCTGACCATATTTTGAGAATATCCATATATCACTGCAAATGCATGTCTGTCTTGTGGTTAGTTCCATGTGGTTTGTTTGTTAGACGTAAATTTAAATTGATCACTTTTTGATGGTTATTTTCTAATAATTTTTCACTTTTTTTTTCAGCAAAGATTTTTTTTTCTCCTTCGGGAGTTCCTTTTCATCAGGATCTCAAAATTAAATTATAGGAAAGTAGCAATCCCTTACTGTGGTCAGCAAAGATCCTGGCCAGCCTACTTCCGTTCCCTAATCTCTTGACCTTCCTTAGGGCGCGGCTGCTCAATAATGGCTCCAATTCTTTTTTTAAAAATAAAATGTGCTACTTACCGAAAGCTGCTAAAAAGGAGACAAAAAATAGGAAAAGAAAACTAACACCCCAGGGTGTATCTGAATATGCTTATTATGTGTGAAGTTGT